CAATATTTAATATAATTACCATGCAATATTATTTTATATATTATCAAAACAGAAAACAGTCCTTTTGTCAGATTTATCTGTCTTCTGAGGACAAACTCTGTCCTTGAAGTACAGCTAAGTAAATGCACACAGACAGAAAGTCACACAGTCACCCAAAGGCAGAGAAAAGGACACAATGTTTGATGAAAATGTACAGCCAACAAAGGAGTTTCACACTCACATACACACACACACACACACACACACACACACAGAGGCAGGCAGCGGTAGAGGTGTAATCTGTGTTATGTAATAAATCTAATTAAATAGAGCGGTGTCATCTATAAGGACAGATGGCTCACTCTGCCAAATGAAAATAAAACCACGCACACATGAGTCATGAATATCCCTTCATCCTGATTCCAGCGTCGCACCTGTTCAAACATCTCTTATCTCTTCCGATCTGTTTCCTGTTTCCTTCGTTATTCATTGAGAACATAATTCATACGGACTTGCATCATTTCATTTCTCCGATAAAATATTCATTTGATTTTCAGTGGCTTTCAGGCAGAAGCAGCCAAAGTTTGAGAAATCAAAACCAGAAGTAATATGTAAGAAAATTATGAAATTTACATATACATTTATACATTTATGAAATAACATGAATACTACAGTGTAAGTGATTTTTCTCATTTATAATTAATATTCTTAATTTATATATATATATATATATATATTGTGTTTTGTTGTTATTGTGAGTGTTCAGAAATAAACAGAGTATTTACAGATTTGAAAGATGTATTACTCTTATTTGTATGACCAAAAAATACGGAGTATTTTAAGAGCAAGTGAGCGCACCGGCACCTCCATCTGTCCTGCAGTGAACTCACTACTGTTTAGTTATAATATAAAGTATTACCAAACATACAAAACATAGTGATTTTTCATGTCTAATTTACTTTATATTATATTTACCATATTTATTATATTTATATTTACTTGAAATTGATTTGCTTTGGGATACCTGGTAACACAAATATATGGTTTTAGTCATGCCAAAAAAAAAATATACCAAATTAAGAAATAAGATTGAGAGAGACAGACAGTGACACAGACAGAAAGAAAGAGGTTTGACATTCTGCTCAGACTGTGACAGAATAACTGATGACAATAAAAATATAGAAACAGACGAGACAAGAAGAGACCTAGACTAGATGAAAAGACACAAACACAAACCTGAACACACACATGACGTCCGTGAGCATTTGAGAGCATGTTGAAAATGTGTGTGTGTGTGTGTGTCACGGTGACTTCTTGTCCTGGTTTCAGTTCTTCTTCCCCTGTGGCTGTAACCTCATCTACATCTTTCTCATTCTTTCATTTTCCTCCTGTTATCCTTCTTTTCACAGCTGCCCCCCCTCTAGTCCTCTCTCTCTCTCTCTGTAAACTGATGTTATGAGATTCCAGCTCCACTTCAGATCAAATTAAAATGAGCTTTAGTGAGAGCAAACCGCACTGCCTGCCTTCATCCTGTGTTTTAAACATCACACACACACTAAATGAGGACTTGTCATGCACATCTATTGTTTTTATGTAAGGCTAATTGCAATGACTGCAGACCAACAATATCGATAAAACTTCAATGTTTTGTATTTTATAGATGTTTAAAAAAACAAAGAAAGGTAAAAACTTTAAAATTCACATTTCCTATCGAGGACACCCACAGATTTTGCCGGATTTAGATTATATTATAATTTATATTTTTAATTCGTTTTTTTCTTATGTGTTCCATTTTAAAGTATTAGTCATTCTAAGCTTTTTCAAATATCTGTTTTTTTTTTCAGTTTTAGGTTTAATTATTTTAGAACAAGTTAAACCAAGCAAAAATTAGAAAATAAAATAAAAAAAATCTACATTTATTTTATTATTTTATTAACATTAACATTATTTTATTACAAGTAGTGATTTTTTTTTTATTATGATTTTACTTTTAGTTTCAGTTAACTATAATAACCCTGCATCACACACACACAGAGACCTTAGATGCTATATTAGAGATGGCATTTTTTTCTATCAGGGTTATGTTATTTTCTATCGCCAAACCCGATCCCTAAACCAGCCCACACAGAAACCTGTGCACGCCATTATATTTAAACACAAATATTATCTGGATCAGCCTTTTCAACTTGAAAATGTACTTATGACAAATAACACCTTACAAACATTTGACAAAATTAAGTTTGAAATGATAAAGCAGTAGATATCAATCACTGCTTTCTTAGCCAACAGGGAACATTCTCAGAACGTTCTGACAAGGCTCTTTCAAATTTATGAACAAATGTCAGCCAGTCACGTTAATAGAATGTTGTTTAAAGTTATCTGGTCTTTTATAATGTTCTCAAAATGTTATTTATACATCATTCATGGAATGTTTTCTTTTTACATTTTAGTCGGATGTTCATCGATGTTCAAGATATTTTTAAACGCTACTACTACTTGTTTCAGCGAACATTCAAAAGTAGCATTTCCATAATGTTTGAAAAAATGATAAAATTTTTGAATTGTTCCCTTCACGTTTGCTCTGACATTTTCGCAATAATCAATAATTTTATTTTTTTAAATAACTGGACGTTTTGAACATTTAGAGAACATTTACAAGTAATGTTTAAAAAGCTTAATGGAAATGTTCTTCGAAAACATTCTTAGAACATTTTTTTTTGTTCATTTCAAAAAATGTTTTATGTTTCTTTGAGCCTAATACAGAAACAGAGACTCAATGAATGGTGTGAGTTTGGGGGCGGGACTATCTGTTTATCCGGCCAATGACAGGTGAGATGAGTGTCTCAGAAAGATGTTTGAAAAAAGTGTTTTGGTACACCAGTGCCACAGATAAAATGCACAATACTTTTATTCTTCATTTCAACACTAGGTCTTTTTTAAACTGAACCTAAACTTAAACTTCTTTTGGTAAAATGTTTTGATTGTAAATGTAACAAAACACACAAATTCGAAACTGCAAACACTTCTTTGACCTTAAACCTTGAACACGTTTGTATAGCGTGTGTGTGTGTGTGTGTGTGTCCAGACCTCCTATCAGCAACTAATGTGACCGAACAGAAGGGGGAAACCAGGACACACAGCGGGATTAAAACACACACACACACACACACACACACAGAGACAGAGAGAGAGAGAGAGGAGATACAA